TTCTCCTCACTGCTTGGATCACCACTTTCTGTTGTTTCTCCTCCATCTCCCTCATCTTTTTCTTTATGCTGTTCTACACTACTGCTTCCTTCGCTGTTAGGGCTATTCTCGTCTTTTGGCTGTGTGACCTCACTTGCTGTATCCATAGATGAAATACCAGAAGTGGACATGGCTGCATCATCCATTGAAGTCTGCAAAGCAAATAATTATCTTAAATATAAAATCAAGGAATGATATATATTATGAATCTGTTTATATCTATGGCCTGCTTTCCAAGTCTATTTTTTCTTCTTACATATATAGATACAAAATCAAGAAAAGAAAAAAATGTATAAAAAGAAAGAAAATAACAGGAAATTTAAAAAATAAGCATAAACTCATCCAATGATTATCTAATCTAAGTCTGATCTGTCAATAATCTAATCATGGCCTGTCAATAAAGATTAAATCTGATCAGGTTTTCAACACATCAGGTTCCATTGCACATTTTAAAAACAAACAGGATTTCTATGTGACAATACAAATTGTTTAGTTTATAAACTCCTGATAGCACTTCACTGACCAGTAATTATGTAATCAAGTAATCTTTTACATGAGGATAAAACAATAATTGCATCTTCTTTGCACAAAGAAAGAACATATAGTATATGACAACATAAATAAACTAATTAACATCTGTATCATGAAAAATGAAAGATAGAAAAGAGGAAGCAAAGAAATCATACATAATATTGGAAATGACTAAAAGAAAGAAAAAGAAGAAAAATAAAGTAACGAATCTACATAGTCCCCTCTTTCTTTAAAAAACAAGAATCCTACACCACTAACATGCAGCACATAAACAAAGATATGAAAAACAAGAATGCAACATGAAAACCTGAAGAAACATCCAGAAGCTGTCTGATACTGTTGCCTCAACTTTCAAAGTACCTATTTTCAGTACAGTTGCCTTCCCACCCACACACACACCTCATAACTAAACCACCACATCAACTCACCTTTCTCACTGCGCTGTTACCGTCGTGCAGCACCAAGGACGAGACAGAGAGAGATTCTGAGTCTGAGGTTGGGCAGGGTGAGTTACTTGAGCTGCTGCCCTCCAGGCTGTTGGAGTAAAACCACTACATATTAATTTTTTAAGTGGCATGGGGGTTTGTGTCTATGATTACTATTCTAATTTTCTGCTTATTATTAGACATTTCATGATCTAAAATATCTACACTATGGTCTGATTATTCGTTTGAACATCTACAATGAGCTACAGTGTACTAAGACATTTATACCCAAGAAACAGCTGTCGAGGCAAAACTAACCCCACATACTTCATCTGTGAAATCAGCTCATGATTTCTGCGCAGGCGGTCATTAGGGATCCAGTTGAGGTGGAGTGTTGTGCCCAGAGTGCTGTCCGCCCGGCACTTAATCACGAGGTAACCAGGATGGTGGACTCTTTCTCCATCACATCGGTAACGAGATGGAGGGTGGACACATACATTGTTCTTGCCTGGTGAGATGAAATTTGTATTGTTACTGGCCATTTTATGCAAAAATAAAACATCAATTGGTTACCTGACTATATTAAAAGGAAAAGTTGAAGGCCATATGATTAACCCCTAAAATCCAACTTCTCCCCTTTGAAGATGTGAGTACCTTTCTCGTACCAGCTTGTCTGAGTATCAGCTATTAAAAACCAGCTGGCCGTTCTCCCACCTCTATTTAGGTATGAACAGAAGAGTGAATGTATACCCCTTCCAACCCACTTATCCATCCCCTGGTCCTTCCCCGAGGCTCCCTGCATCTCCAACCAACACAGCTGCTTCCAGGAGTGACTTAGCTGGAATGTCATTTTATTTTTTTTATGTGTATTTCTTTTATACAGGAAATTAAGGCAAAATGATACATTATTATTTTTTTGAACTGAGTATAGTAAGAATAATATAAATTTTATTCTGCTGTATATTTTGCTCATATCTATTTTTCCCTTTTTCTTCTATATTTCTTTTTTTTTTTTTTTTTTTTTTTTTTTTTTTTTTTTTTTTTTTTACTTGATGCTTCACTCTTCAATAACTATTTGACATAAAAACATGAGACATGACTTATCTTATGTGTAGAATCAATTTCTTCAAATAATACAGACAAACCAAGGAACTATGGGGCATAGGTGTTGAAATCATTTAACAATTATGAAGCAACTGAGACACTGATACCCACACTATTTGACATAGATGGGAAGAGGTATAGATAGACTGAAAAACATGAGTAAAGACACAAAACTACAAAGAATCAGAATATAAATATATAAAAGTTAAACAAAGGCAAGTGAGTGGCAATCGCAAATCCAGACATAAAAGCACACACATATAGTTACAAATGGAAATGAACAAATAAAATTAAAAATGCATTTCCTCTACCACATTAATTAGCCTAAATAACTTGTATTTTTCTATCTTATCAAAGAGGAAATGATGTCATCACTACTCACTTGTTGGCTTTTTAAGTGGAAAAAAAACACTAACAAATAAACCTTTAACAAACACAAAATATATGTTTAAAAGACATATGTGCATCTGTTACCAGCATTGCACTGTTTGGCATGGGCTCTGTACCTGCTGGCTATTTGGCAATAATTAACAAACCTCCATTATGCAAGGTAGAGCATGCAGACTTCTTCAGTGATCTATCTTCAAATCAAGAACCAGTCTAAGCTCTTTATTACCAGAACATATCTGCTAGAGGTTTCTTATTCTGTATGAGTGCAAAGTGCGGAGGATGCATTAACAACTTGACACCACACCACAAACCCTATGCTTGTATGCCTTCCAACAGAGGTCAAGCAATTCTTCAAATGGATATGGACAGAACACAGTCAACACAATTAAGAAAAAAGTTCCATTTGGCCTCTGATAAATTTATTGATCATTACATAAATTCTGTAAAAGGATGGTCATAAGAGAGATAATAAAAAAATAAAGGATTCAGAAAATGACAATATGACAAATATTACATTTAAACTATTTCATGAACGTTCACATCTGCATAAACTTTTAACATTGTGCAAGCCTCAATAGCTGCACTACAAGAACATTTTCTGCGTTCTGCTAAACTCCATGGTTTGCATAACCCTGGTAATTGTCTATTTGCTTGTCTTCAGCCAAACTGTTTGAAATTCGCAATTTGGAGAACAAATGAGTGCTTGATCCTTGTACATTACATACTGATAGACAACATATGAACCAAAACTATCATAGTACTCAAAAAATTAATAGTAGGGCCTGCTGGTATCAGTCTTTGCACATTGAATGATTAATTAGTTACATTATCTGTAAAATAAGAAATCAAATTATAATGTCAATGATACCATAACTTTCTATTTCTACTAATATCAATAAACTATTTTCAAATATATACAATTTCATTTAATATATACTTATTCTAGGTTGTATTCAAATGATCATAGGAAATAATGGGAATTATGAGTATATTTGAATACACTGACCACTGCAATAATTGGCTTTATAAGCATATAATCAAATTCAATTAATTGTCTGAAATATGAATGATCAACACATCCAACTGAAGAAACAACCGCTCACCCTCTACATCAAGAAAAATCATATTACCAAGAACATTCACAGCATGTGTACACTGAGCACAAAAAGTGAATCTTGAACTTACAGAAGACGATATCTCCATCCTCGTACATCTGTTTTGAAGAATCTGTGCCGGTGATGCCAAGAAAGCTCGAAGCCCGTCTCAGAATGCCGTTTAGAGACATGGTGGCCGTTGGCAAGATTTGCAAGTGGCAGCCGATTCAGCAGGTGTATCGCTTGCGCCTTAGGCTTTGATTGACTCAAATTCCATCCTTTTACCTGGAAAATAATTTGATAGGTGAAAACTGTGTAGCCCTGGAATTTATATATATTTGAGGCATTTTAATACAATTTAAAGATTGAATTAAAAAGAAAGTAAATGAGAAAAATGGTGCATGTACAGCTTTCACACACGTGATTCAAGTAATGACTGAGAACATCTTGTTAAAAAGCTAGGCACAGGTGTTAACTGCATTTAATTTGACGTTTTTATCTTTATTTGATAAGGTGCATTGGTTCATTTAACAAGGTATCAAAATTTCCTTAATACGCAATAAATAGTAGCACATACTCCATATTCAGTTCAATTAACCTAACATTTCTATCCACAGATATTGTAAAATAAAAAAGCGAAGTGTATAAAATTGGTAAATATCCACCCACGCCTTATCCCTAAAAAAAAAAAAAAAAAAAAGTGAAGCTAATAATGAAATAATACACACATTCATCTTCTCCAGCTTTCTTAAATTCCGGTTCAGAGTCAACTACATACTCACAATATGAAGGAATTGACAGTATAAAAGGGGAAATTCACGTGAAATAAGCGCACTGAAGTGTCACCTTTGCCCAACTACGTCAGTCTGTCACAGCTGACGTCAGACCACAACAGCGTCATTCACTCCCACTTGAAAATACGATATGTCTCAAATGTTCATATTTATTTATCTCTTCAAAGGGAACATATTGCAATATATTGATGATTATCATATGCTTTTTATTATTCCATTTTTGATAAATAAGATGTAGCGTTTGGAGATTCATGTTTTTCTGCCTTTTTAAAAATCAAACAACGAAGAGCAAAACATCTTTGTATATTTCATGTTTATTCGTTCCTGTATCTACTTGCTGTGTGTCTTGCCAATTTTAGGATTGACTTGTCCATGAATTAGATACAAATATATCATGTGATGCCAACTAGCCGTGTAGTGCATTAGCCTCATATGAATCCTTTCTAGGGATGCAATATAGATTGAGTATACATCTTTTTTAATGAAATTGATAATAGACATTTAGATAATAGTAGAGAAATAGCAGCTCAGAAAAATACAGAAAATTGCCTCTTAAAATATTCCCTATAACAAATGTCAACGCACTCACTTTCATCATATATTCCCATAGTGTAAGCGACGGCTCTTATCTCTGCCGGACGATGAGCGAGAAATGTAAACAAACTCGGCACGATAGTTGGGCGGTGAAAAAATTATCTCGGTTTTCTGCTGAAATTTTTACGCTGAGTGGGAATCATGTCGAGTGACGAGTCAGGAGATCAAGTCATTTTAGCGACAGCTAGTTATGATCACAATATCAAGTTGTGGCAAGCCCATAGTGGGATTTGCCAGCGCACTCTTCAACACAACGAGTCTGTATCCTTTGAATAGACATGATGGTTAATTTTGTTTATTCACCTCATTTATTATTATTTCTACCAGTTATCATTCTTGACTTGCCCTAGTAGTTTTGTTTTTCGTTATTTATCCGTGTTATATATTCTAGTTCTTATTTCGTTTCTAAATGCTATACTCAAACTGAAGTTTAAAGTAGAAGGAACAAGGAAAGGATTGCACTAGAATGAATAAACTAGATTTTAACTGTATATGCTACCAAGACTGAATCTGAAGATCAAAGATGTTGAATATTTTTTATAAAAATGGATAAGTTAGGCAGTATTCTTCACCGACTTTATAATTGATGCCCTATTTTCTATGTCTGAACTTGTAAATAAAACAATGAAAGGAAGACAGAGGAATACACAATTTTACCAAGGGCCTTTAGGCTGTATTGCTAATTCTTTCCTTTAAGAAACAGCAAGAGGAAAAGGCATTTGCCATAATCATATGCTTCCCTTGTGTACAACTAATACTGCATGAATCCTTTGCATCTCTTGTTCCACATCCCTCTTAGTACTACTGTTGGCATTCTCTGCAAATACTTTCATATAATTGTTATCACAGTTTTACCCCTCAAACATTATCGTCATCAGTTATCAATCTTCAATCTTCAATCTCCAATCATTAATCTTCATTCTTCAGTCATCATCATCATCATCCATCATCACCACTACTATCAATGATCACCACTGTCCATCATCATCATCATCATCTCATCATCATCATCATCATCATCATCAATCATCATCATCATCATCAATCATCAACTATCACCACTACTATCAATGATCATCACCACTGTCCATCATCATCATCATCAATCATCATCACCACTACTATAAATGATCATCGCCTCTGTCCATCACCATCATCCATCATCACCACTACTATCAATGATCATCACCACTATCCATCATCATTATCATCATCATCCATCATCACCACTACTATCAATGATCATCACCACTGTCCATAATCATCACCATCATCACTAGTACTATCAATGATCATCACCACTGTCCATCATCATCACCTATCACCAGTCATCACCACATCCAGTACTATCAATGATCATCATCCATGGATCATCATCTGTCATCATCATCATCATCATACCATCTGATGGGGATCAGGGATCATCATGTACTATCAATGATCATCAAAGGCAAATCATATTGATCATCAGAAAAGAAAAAGAAAAAAGGTTTAAATCATACTTGTCACGGGATATAAAGGAGAGAATGATTGAGTTTCAGTATATTGTCTGGGACGAGAGTCTGCTATTGTAATTTTTTTGCACAAGTGATAAGTTATTGCTGCTTTTATTTGTAGATATTTAGCCAATTATATTTTTTTTAAAGGTCATTTTCCAGTACTATTTGAATGACCATGATGAAAATAGTGTGTTCATTTTAACTTGTTGGAACTGACTGCCTTGCAGCTCAGTTGTGATCCAAAATGCAATAAAAGACTTATGAGAGTTGGTGTTTGTCTTGTAGTCCTGTCCCACACGAACACACATGTGTAGTATCAAGACTCCTTGCCTCCTCTTTGCTGTGTTAATAGCTCATATTCTACATATGTAATTTTGCCATTTTCTGATGCCTGAATTTCTCATTTCCTACACTGTATCATAATAGTAATAGACTGCTTTCATTGAGCAGACTCTATATTATCTCTTTAGATATCTACAATGCTGCACAATAACAATAATGACAAGTAACAGTGTGTTACTTGTGTTATTTTTTTTTTACATTGTAATTTTCAGTTTTCTTGAACATTGTGCTTCCAGTCAAGGCAGCCAGGAGTGTTACTGCACATGTAAATAGTGTCTTGACGTGCCAGTAACAGATGGTAAATTCCACTCATGTTTACTGGTGGAAATGATGCAAGAATCCCTCTCTAAAGGTCACTGAGTCTAATCTCCCTCCAAGAACTTTCTACACATGGCAAGATGTCCCTGTCAGTCCCCAATCAGCAACATTATATGTTAAGGACATATTTCTGTCATCCTATCCCTTTGCCAATTTTTTTCACGATGACAGATCCCCATCACCTACCACTCAGCCATGTCCATGTCTCCCAGATCCAGTAGTTTAACTGCTTGGTAGTTGGAAATTACATACATATGATGGATTCAGATAGTCAAATCAGAATTTATGCTTTATGTTTTCTGTTATGGTTGAATAAATTATAAATTGCGAAATTTAATGTGAGAATGTATTTGGCAAAAAAAAGATATACATAAATATTTATATTTATGTATGTATATGTATGTATTAGTATGTATTTGTGTATGTATATGTATGTATATATGTATGTATTTGTATGTATATGTGTGTGTATGTATATGTATGTCTGCATGTATAAGTATGTATGCTTGTATATGTATATATGTATATGTATATAGGTATATGTATATATGTATATGTATATAGGTATATTATATATGTATGTATGTATGTATATATATGTATATATGTATATGTATGTTTGTTTATGTATTTATATTTATGTATGTATATTTATGTATGCATATGTATATTGATGTATGTATGTTTTTGTATGTATATTTATGTTTTATATATGTTTGTATGTTTGGGGACATATATGTATATTTATGTATGTATGTATGTAATGTATGTAATGATTTTACCTAAGGTGTGTATATGTGAATACTTTTACTCTGGTGTTACTGTGTCTCTATTACTTACTAAACTTTTTGTTAATAAAAGGTAAAAGAGATGATGAGGGTCCTGCAACATGTAAGCGTCAGTAATTTTACCATGTTACTAGAACCTCACCAGTTTTTATTCTACGTACCTTGATATTGAGAACTGATGGGATTCTATTTATCTTCTTCCCTTGAAAACCACTACAATCGAGCATATTTTCCTCTACCATTGCTTTTTAGTAATATAGAACATTCCTTTCCCAATTAGTAGAGAAGAATAGAACATCCAGTGTAGAATTATCCTTAACTGGAAACAGCAAGTGAATGCCATGGAAATAACGCCTGACCGACAGTTGCTCGCAGCTGCAGGGTACCAGCATATCCGTATGTATGACATCAACTCCTCAGCACCAAAT